AAAATTATCAAAAGAAGCTGTGGCACCGATTTAAAATTACTGACCAGATATAAATAACATTCAGAATTAATGAACAATTAGAAGAGGCTTAGAGCGTTCCATTTACATTATTTGTGATATACTCGGATAATTAATATTCTAAATTCAATATTCTGAATTCTGAATGGTCGCATTCTACAGTTTTTTGCTATATTTCTAAGGAATAACTTTCCAATATTATATGTAAGAGTCTAACTCAGTTATTTTCTATGAAACACATACAGTATTTATAGTTTGCGCCTTAATACATGCAATACAAATAAAATTCTCTTAATCTATAATAGTGACAACTTCTTTGACACTATTTTATTAAAAAAAATATACATTATTTTTATAAAGCATGAAAATCTTATTAAGTACAGCAGTTACCGAGTTCAATAAACTTAATACAAACCAATATAGTTAGCTAGAGACTTATTTTATGTTGTAATATTCTTTTAATGCAGTATAAATGAATAAAAATCACTTTATCCTTCCATTTTACTGCTTTTAGAATTTTCAAACACTAAAAATTGTAGTATAATAAATTCATATTGAAACCAAAAATTATTTAAATTCTGGATACCTTCTCGGTCATTTTAAAAATATTTACGGAGCAAACTTGTATACAATAATAGTGTTTGTATAATATGCAAATTTCTGAAGCAATAAAAATATGCAGAAGGTTTAAATAAGATCACAAATTTTATTATTAACCAATTTTATTATTTTTTAATATTTTGGGTTTAAATTTCTTAAATCTTTGAAGCATTTACATTATGAGAAAATAGCAAATAATCCGAATCGAAATATCAAAACGTATCCTTTCTTAAGGCAAAATTATATCCTGAATATTACATTTCGTTCATCAACATTTTATCTCTATTTAATAATTTCCTTTATAAAAAATAATAAAAACAAATGAAAAAAGAAACCAGGACGACATTTGGATATGAAAAGTAACAAAATGGAATTTTTATAAGTAAAATATTGTGACTGTGTGAGCCTAAACTGTTACTGCAATTTTTCTAGACTATTCAATTCTAAAATTTTTGCTTGTTCTGTTACTGATTTTCTTTTATTTTGTGTTTATTCAGAGGAGTGAATTTAATAGTACAACAATAAAAGTAAAAAATATTATTCATTTTATGATTTTTATATCCTTTTTATGTACCTGAAATCCTTTTTTTTGTTGCTTCTTCCAAAACCGTCACAATATTATATCAGATTTAAATTCCAAAGTCCGAAAATGAACTAGGATTATGGTTTAGTATATTTCTTTAACAAAATAAAATACATAAAACATGTTTGTATATATATGTGTATTTTATATTTACCTCTACCGTACTTATTCATTTTTATGCCATATCATAAAAACCTTACAGAGATAGTTAGATTTTATAAGATTACCAACCGTTTTGCAACGTAAAACCTAAATTTCGTTAGTTTTCTATGACAATTTATGGACTACAATTATTGAAAAATATTCATTGAAATATTTTCTAAGGTTAGACAGTTACGGAATAGAGCAAAAATATTTAATATTGTGTAAATATTTAATATAATATAATTTGACCAAGTATAATGTTCGTGGACAACTATGGAAAAAAGTAAAGAAGCCGTTTCCAGACCACATGAGAAGTTACCCAAGGCTTTAACATGTAATGGAGCTTCTTTAGCACTACTACTGGAAGCACTTTAAAAATATAGCATGAGTTAATAATGCCTTTGATATAAGAAATAGAAAGAATTAGATGGTCAGTACTACGAGTATCTTGTGAAAGCAGTAAAAACTTAGAGAATACATCAAAAATATTGTCCTATAATGTAAGTTACCCTACAAATTGAGTTACCCTTTCAAGTGTTACTCCATTTGTAGGGTAACTCAGTTTTCTAAATGTAATGACTAATAAATCCTTATACGAGGATCGTGACGCATTGTTTCTCTAAAATTTAGAATATATTTTCTACATGAATATGTGCTGCAATTGTCTTGAGGTCGGTAAGTTCATATTCGTATAATAAGCAAATTACTTAAACTTCTTCTGAATAACAACAAAATTTATTAGTATTTTTGTTTGCTCTATAAACGGTAACTTTATTATAATTTTAATGTTCCTAAAACGAATAAGTAATTTTTTGTCTGTAATGAAACTGAAATTTTACTTTAACAAAAACTAAAACTATCTAGCCAAAAAAAAAAACTTCAATAATCATAGGATTGGTTTTCATAGAACAAGACAACGCAAAATTTTGTAAAAAAGCAAAAAGTACAAAATTTAGTTTTAAATTGATAAATGTGCTCCTATAATACAATATTAGAGTAAAGATCTTGCATCCAGAATTTTAATATGATCACGTAGACCATGAATTATATCAAAAAAAAGGACATTTTTCGGAAAGAATTTTTTAAGAGTTTTTAGTTATGAAATTAAAAAACAAACACAAAGGAAAAAGTATGAGAAAAAATGAAATTAAGATTAGTTTTTTTTAAATTTATTGAATTTGGTACTTTTTCTTCTGTTTTGGATCTTGTCCCCTAAAGTTTTGTTGTTTTGTGTGTGTATTTGCTCTTTTTGATACTTTTAACTCCCACTTGATTTGAACTTTAACATGATGTTCTAATCATAGTAAATTTATAAATTTATTTTAGGCGTAAAATTTCATATTTAAAAAAGTTTTTTTTCCCCCAAATATCAGAGACGAAAATAATGAGTATAAAACTGTCCAAAATAATATTTATTCAGTTAAAATGAAAATAAAGTTGGGTAAAACACATAGTTTGTAAAGTAGCACTTTTCCTTTAGCAATTGAAAACACTATTCTTCTTCTTGGTCTGCTTATCTACTACTGGATGTTTCCGGTTACATTGCTAAAACTCTCCTTATTCTGTGCGGTGTGTATTACTTGCCCGATTGTTTGTATGCTAGTCCATTGGCTGATGTTTTGCAGCCAGTACATTTGTTTCTATCAACACACGTTTTGCCTTCTAATTTACCTTGCGGGATTAATTGCAGAATATGGTATTTTTCGTTGCGCATTAGATGACCTGTCTTTCTAGAAGTATGCTGTCTTTCTACGTTTGATTGTTGATAACAGCTGACAGTTAAAATTTATTCTGCTCAAAACTTCTGTGCTACTAACTCTATCTACCCACGGTATTTTTAACATTCTTCGATATAGCTATATCTCAAAAGCCTTCCAGCCTATTTATTATTGAAACTTTCAGTGTCCACGCTTCTATTCCATAGAGGAGTACCGACCACAAGTAGCATTTTACAAAACGACTGCTCAAATGAATATCTCAGCAACAAAAGAAATTTTTATGATGATTTCGGAAAATGTGAAGTGGAGAAAATTTTCGCCTTACGAAATAAACCATATATTAATGTCTAAATGTTTCTAAAATTTCAAACTCCTAAAACTCATTGTCTAAAAGAAAAACGATATCAAAATTGTGAAAAAAGGGATCTTATATTAAGGTTATTTTTTGGCAGCCATTTTGTGTTCTTGTAATGCTCAATAACCATTACTTGTGAACGGTTATAATTTTTAGAGTGAGGTATGATTCTTATAAAGGTTTATTTGTATGTTAAATTCCAGGTGTCTATCCTAAAGGGATACGGACGGACAGGCAAAGTCAGACTAATAAGCACTTTTTTTCCAAATTTATTTTGGGAAAGTTCTGAAAAACGACATTATCTTGAATTAGGATAGCTTTTTTTTTTGGAAAATGAAATTTATATTAGAAACTTAATTAAGAGACTAATACTAAATTGAATTGAAAAGAAAAATGAATTGAAATTAAATAGAAATTGGGAAGATTTTGTCCTTTATTAAATTTAATGAAAAATTTTAAAACTTTTAATGCTGCCCCTGCTTTATGGCAGTTGCTTTTTTTTTTTGGATTGTCTGACTTCAAATTTTCATTTCTGATAAAAAATCTATTAGAACATTATTTTGTTAACCTTTTTAAATTCGTCTGATTTTATTTTTCGAAAGCAAAATTTAATTTAAATTGTAATTTCTTCTATATGCTCGTTTCCCTTACAAATTTTGTAAAATTTTTATTGAACTCTACCTTTCATATTAAATTTTTTCTTAATTCCTCACTGAAAATTCGTCAATATTATCGAACGTTTAAGCGAACAATTTTCTTTAATAAGGATTTTTTTTTATTTTTTTAAAGAATCCTTTTTAATATTTTTACATAAAATTCTTGCAAGAGCCTATAAATGTCTCTCCATATAATTTATACCATTAATAGCTATAATATAATTTTATATTAGATAAAATGGAAATGGAATAAAATATTTGGAATTGCACATTGGATGAGGAGAATACGGATATACGGAAATTTTTGGTGTAGACTCAAAAATACTCCTTTATCTACTAAATGAAGATGGCTTTATCTGATTATTCCTTTTTATTATCCTGGATGTAATAAAAAATTATCTGAGACTTTTTCTTCTGTTTCCAATTTCTAGTGGATATTTTAACTGTTTTATTATTGTTGCTTTTTACTGTTTTACGCAAATTTATACTCTTATTTTGTGGGTTAGTTTTTGGTGCCATTTTTATGTTTGAAAATTACAAATTTGTACCAGGTACTTAAAATTAATGGCAAGCCATTTTTATGAGAATAAAATTTATAGAACACAAAACTGAATTTTCAAAGTGACGCGCGGGATTAAAATAAGTGCTAAAGTTGGAATTCGTTTACAATTCCAGTTTTAATTATTTTAATCACTTTCGATTTTTTAAAACTAATATAATTTCTATTTTAGTATTTAGATGTTTCTTAAAGTCTCCCACTACTTGTAGGTATGACGACGAATTGGATCCGCCTTTTTTTGTCTGTTGATGATTTTTAACACAAAAATTTTCGAAATTTTAGGTTTTAAATTTAAAGAAATATTTTTACAAAATTAAAATTTTAGTTTTATTTATTAATGAACAATATTTTTTTTATTTGTTTTCAGGTGAGTGTAGCATTTGATTACTGCCAATTATCCTGGTAAATTTTAAATTATTATTAATTTAAATTTTTAATAAATATTTTTAAATTATAAAAAATTTCATAACTTTAATATTAAATTTCAAACTGAGATTTTTTGGCTAAATTCTACTAAAAGCTGTTGGTTTTGAAATATTTTTCACCAAGAAAAAATCCAAAAAACAAAATACTAATTGGAGGGGATGGCTTCACACATCGCTGCATTTCCATGTTTAATCGCAGTATCGTTTCTAGCTTAGCATCAAATTGTGTTTGATATAGAGATTGTTCCAAACAGGCGTCGGTTTAGTCAATTTGAAATTTCTTATAACAATTTTTCTCTTTAAAAATAAATTTTTCGCAAAAAATTTTTATAATCTTTAAAAACTTTTTTAATAAAACATCAAAATAATTGAGTTTTAAAGTGTTCATATTGTATGGCCCCCGAAAATTATATTAATTTATATTCAAATCAAAAAATTTATTTCTAGAAAAACAAAAAAACTCCTACACACTGTATAAAATATGCATAACAAGTACACCTTTCTATATTTAGAAGCATAAATGCAATTTAATAACTACATTTTCATACAACTAAATTTTGCATTTTAAATTTATGCGCTTGTACAAGAGAACACACGATAATAACTATGATTTTTAATTCAATTATTTCAATTTATAAAAAGTTTAGCACTCTATTTTAGTAAGCATAATATTATTTAGCTGATGTATACGCTATCCATTTTATGTTATTTTTATACTTTTAAAATAATTTTTAGTTTATAGTTGATTTGCATATTTCCAATCATGTTTCCTTTATCCCATCATACATATATATTATATATGGTACGGTCTAGTTGAATAACTTTGGAGGCAAAATTTATGTATTATTATTTTATTATACCACATAACATGTATATAAGCCGACCGCACTTATATCACTACAATATATATTATGTGAATTACACCTGCAAAGAGTATCTATATATAAAGTTTCATATATAGAAGTAAATAAAGCTTTATATATATAGGACACACACAATTAGCCGCATCCACACCATGCGATTGTCCTTTTTCATGTAACAAGAAAATATTTTTGTTGTTTTGTTTGTTTGTTTTTCTTTATAAATATAAATTTTTCTGCCTCTTTTTCATTCTAGCAATTTTATCTAGGTATGTAGTTGTATATTTGTGTAGCAAACCATCATTTACTAAATAACCGAGGTAAAAAGTAAATTAAATTAGAATGAATAAAAGAAAGAATGGAAAAAGTAGAGTATTTAAAGTGCAAGGACATGTGAAATGAGCCATTCTAGTGTAGAGAAAGAAGAAATGAAAAACAAATGCAATGAACTCGATCAAAACTTTTTCAACATACTATACTTACGTAAATAAAGCAACCCAATCCAATTAAATAAACTTTAGATATGGTTTGGTATATAATTGTCATAAAATAGAATAATGGAATAGCCCGCATTTAAAATTTAATTTCTTTTTTATGTATGTTATTTTAAATGCGGTGGGTAAGCCTAAAAGAAATATAAATAGAAGCAAGAAATTAAATTAAATTTGAAAAGTTTCTCTTTTAAAATTTTAAATTAGTCTACGTAAATTATTTGTTGTTTTAATATCGGAAAGGATCTAGTTATAATCAAATAATAGAATTAATAATATCCCTTGAAAGGATTCATGTGTCTTAGGTTCGTTTAATTAAGAAGTCATTATTGAACGAAATTTTATATTTAAAAATTCGATGTGACGTACCTAAAGTATGCTACGTAACTAAAGTATACTACGTAACTAAAGTATATAACAGTCTCAGAAATTCGTTTATTTGGGCTATAAAGACTAAATTCCTAAAAATTTCTATAAACTCATGAATATTGAAAGTTTCATGTAAATATATGTGTTTTATATCTTTTGATGCGGTTGTAAGAAACCAACTTAATACCAAGGAAATTTTGAATGATATTTTGGGAGTTGAAACCTCGAATGAAATATAATATAAAAATATATTTTGCAGATAACTACGTGTATAAACATATTTTATAAATTCTTCTTATTCTTTAACCACATTGTTTCGTTAATAAATTACTATACATATACTCACAACGATGTATAAAATGAACTCAAAGTAAGTTTGAAAATTGTGCAGAAAAGTTACCTTGAATTTATCTTTTCTTTTTTCATTAAATGCAAATAGAATATTTACATGGTAACTATGTGTTTTAATAACCTGAATACCTTGAATCCTACAGAACAAAAATTTTCATTAATTTTTCTTAATTTAGTAAATATAATTTGGGTATACTACTTACAATTGAATATTGTAATGCTAACTTTACAAGCCATAAGAAATTAAAGGGTGATCTTGTTACATTTAAGATTTTTTACAATTTTGTTATAGCTAAGGCAAGGAACTTATTGATTGTTGATGGTGATTTGCGTTTTAAAACTTCTATTCATTTATTAATATCTTCGGAAACAATTGAGATATATGCATCAGATTTTCACAGAATGTATTTTAAGCTATGCAGAATTTGAATTTCACATAAACTACAAAATTTGACTTACACGGTTTTTTTTTGGCCCCTTTTTCTCGTTTTTGCTAATTTCTTCGGAAATAATAGAGATATATGCATCAGATTTTCACAGAATGTATTTGAACCTATGCAGAATTTGAATTTCAAATAAACTCAAAAACTACAAAATTTGACTTACACGGTTTGTATTTGGCCCCTTTTTCACGTTTTTAGTAATATCTTCGGAAATAATAGAGATATATGCATCAGATTTTCACAGAATGTATTTTAAGCTATACAGAATTTGAATTTCAAATAAACTCAAAAACTAAAAAATTTGACTTAGGCGGTTTCTACATGTCCGTTTTCTGATAGTTTTGTTTATATTTTCGAAAATAATTGAGATATATGCACCAAATTTTCACAGAATGTATTTGAACCTATGCAGAATTTGAATTTCAAATAAACTCAAAAACTAAAAAATTTGACTTATACGGTTTCTATTTGGCCGCTTTTTCACGTTTTTGGTAATATCTTCGGAAATAATAGAGATATATGCATCAGATTTTCACAGAATGTATTTTAAGCTATACAGAATTTGAATTTCAAATAAACTCAAAAACTAAAAAATTTGACTTAGGCGGTTTCTACATGTCCGTTTTCTGATAGTTTTGTTTATATTTTCGAAAATAATTGAGATATATGCACCAAATTTTCACAGAATGTATTTTAAGCTACGCAGAATTTGAATTTCAAATAAACTCAAAAACTACAAAATTTGACTTACACGGTTTTTATTTCGCCACTTTTTCACATTTTTGTTAATATCTTCGGAAATAATAGCGATATATGCACCAAATTTTCACAGAATGTATTTTAAGATATGCAGAATTAGAATTTCAAATAAACTCAAAAACTACAAAATTTGACTTACACGGTTTTTATTTGGCAGCTTTTTCACGTTTTTGATAATATCTTCGAAAATAATTGAGATATATGCATCAGATTTTCACAGAATGTATTATAAGACATGCAGAATTTGAATTTCGAATAAACAGGAAAAAATTTGACTTGAGCGTTTTTATAACCCCAGAACTCTCTGAATTTTCAGTCATTTGGAAATGAAAATGGTCCTTCTTCATAAAGAACGGAACTAAAGTACGGCAATTACCGAAATTATAAAAAAAATGTGTGAATACCTTTTGAAACTCTTTACTACCTTTAACGGTAAGTGAATGTAAAAACTGGATCACTCCTTTGCTACAACAATTTATGCGGTTACTTAAAATATATGCATAAATATAAAAAAAAATATAAAAAAAAAAATAGATAAATAAAAACCAAAGATGAATTCTGACCATAATAATTTGTCATTGTCGTACATACTAGACCACATTACATTTTAATGAAGAAAAATTATTGAGCACGTACAGAAAATGCTCTTAAAATATGACCAACAAAAAAAGCAAAGAAAAAACTGTGTAAGAAATGGAAATTCCAACAAAAAGCAATTCAGGATTATTATCGTTATTACTGTTATATCTTTTATCTCTGTACACACACACACAAAATCTCTTTTGCTTCTTATCAATAACACAAAATAGAAAAAACAGGCAAGAACACTTCTAGACGATCTACACCAACTGAATTATACTCTACACCTTGATAACCTAAGTAAAAAAACTTGTGCTTAAAATATTTATAGTTTAATAATTAGCTTTCTTGGTTACGCGGCAGCTAGCCGAACTTTCAAACTATTCCAAAAAACCTTCAAGCATATGTGTGACTTATAATTGGGCACATGACTGTCAAGTCTCATGAATTCAATTTTATTATTTTTCGGAATATTTGAAGTTAGTTGAAGTAATCATTTGGACTTTGGAAATGTATGGCACCTATCCCGAACTTGAAGCCCGAAATGGTCCATTCTTGGCAGAACAAAATCAATTTGTGAAAGTTTGGTGGTGTTTGCTTTATTCGTTTTTGAGTTATTAAGGAATCGGATGGGCGGACGGACGTACATACCTAAATTAACGCAGAATTTCAGGTTGAGTAAGAATTAAATACATGTTCTCACTGCAAACTATACCTTCAAGTGGTTACACTTTGTAACAAATTTAATACACCCTTCATAAAGATGCAGGGTATAAAAAGCACATAATCAAGATCTAAGTTTTATTTAGATCTGATTTAGTTGAATACTAAATTAGGGTAAAGTACTAAAAAATTACATTTTTTTGTGCTGATTTCTTAATGTATGTAAAATAATTTTTTACCATATTCTATGGGGCAGTCATTTCACGTTACTTTTCAATTTATTCAAAAAAAAAATTGTTTTAAAATATTAAAATACGAGTAAAGTAGTTAAAATTATTATTACAATACCCATTCCATATACATTAATAATAAATAAAAATATTTTACATAAAATAGAAAAAAATAAATTATTTAAATGGCCCAAAAAACAATGCGCTCACTGAATATTGAATAGCCTAAAAATTTTGTTTTTTATAGTATATGAGCACATTAATTAAGGCATTCAAAATCTTGAAAAACCAGAGGATAGTATATAAAACTCAAAAGTAGAATTTCATAAAATCTAGAACAAATTTAATGAATTATTAGTCCAGATAATATTTAGGATCTCGTAATCTACCCACTATTGGGGGTAACCCATACTTATTTAAATATCAAAATTATTCCATTTATACACAATAAAACAAATTTGATTACAATAAATAGTACTCGTATAAGAAAGAATTATGAGAAATTTTTAGAACTTATAAAAATTAGGAGCGGAAGTCCCGATATATTTGTGTATATAGGACAAGCCG